GTGAAGCATTGGGGACTCGAACCTGCACCCATATGGGATGCCAGAACCATGGTTGGAGGCTTAATCTACTGCTGACATTACTACTATTTTATTGATGATACATTTATTTATTGCTATAATAGTGCAACAGTATGCAATGATACATTCTCCTTTAAACATGTTACTGTATTTTGATATATGCCTCAGGATGCCTTTGTTAAAGTGTTGTATAGTTCCTGCCTGCCTATTTTCCTTTTAAATTAGGATACTTAACTTGTCTAACAGTGTATGAGATTGCTTACTTCTTTTTTTTTTCCCCTCAGTAGGGTTGCAGGCTCCATGAGTACAGGAGCCAGGTTAGATCTTCTTCTTCTTCTTCTTTTTTTTTTTTTTTTTTTTAACATTTATTTATTTGTTTGAAAGTCAGAATTACACAGAGAGGAGAGGCAGAGAGAGAGAGAGGTCTTCCATTTGCTGGTTCACTCCCCAATTGGCTGCAATGGCCAGAGCTGTGCCCATCTGAAGCCAGAGCCAGGAGCCTCATCTGGGTCGAACCACAGGGTGCAGGGGCCCAAGGACTTGGGCCATCTTATACTGCTTTCCCAGGCCATAGCAGAGCCTGATCAGAAGTGGAGCAGCTAGGACTTGAACCAACGCCCATATGGGATGCTGGTACTGCAGGTGGCAGCTTTACACTCTATGCCACAGTGCCCACCCCCAAGAGATTGCTTACTTCTGTAAATAATTGAAAACCATACATAGTTGCTAATCTGAAGTTTAAAATTGTATTTTCTCTTTTTTTGTTTTTGTTTTTCTTTCTCTGCTTGGTAGTCAAATTTGGACATCTTACATTTCTTTTATAAATTGCTCATTTTTTCTAATAAAGTATTTGTCCTTTTAGCTAACAGGTGTTCTTTTTTATTTGAATACTTATCCTATATCACTATGCTTTCTTTTCAATTATTTCTCAAAATTTGTGTTTACTTGTATGTGTTCCACTTTGTGTGCCTCTGAAATTTTCTATTTATATCTAGTCTGTTAGCAAGTATACATTTATCTGAATTGCTGTTTTGGTCTATTCTGGTGTATTCATTTCAAAATTCATCTCTTCCCTGTTAATTTGAGATTTCTCTATTATATTCTTCTACTGTGTATGTCTTCTCTTTGGATAATTATTTTGCTGTACTCACCTTTGGTGCTTATGATAGTAATTATTGCTTTGTCATAAACTGTCCCGTCCGAGAGGGCAGACATCTTTCCTCGTTATTTTTGACATTCATATTTTTTCCACTTTTAGCAATTTTTCTCTTGCAGAGTAAAGAGTTTGTTATGATTAAAAAATAGGTGAAGTTCTGTTTGGAATTATTTTCACTAAGTTTTATCCAGAAATATATGGTATTTTTCCTACACTGAGTCTTATCTAACATAACTAGTATTTCACATATTTTCTTACCTCTAATTTTTTTTTAGTGTTTCTGGATACTGTTTGCCTACCATTCTGGATTTTATGTTTTCTTCATTGTCTCTTATAACCCTCATTTAACTCTTAACTGTTTTGGTCAGAATTCCAGTAACACTATTGAATATAGTGTCACACTCCTTGCTGTGCCTTAAATGCAAACACTATGGTGTTTCACTACTAGAAATGAAGATTTCTATTGGTTAGAAATGATTTTTTTTAAAGAATTATTTTATTTATTTGAAAGAGTTACAGAGAGAGGAAGAGAGAGGGAGAGGGAGAGGGAGAGAGAGAGAGAGAGAGAGAGAGAGAGAGGTCTTCCATCTGCTGGTTCACTCCCCAGATGCTGCAACAGCCAGAGCTGCACCAGTCTGAAGCCAGGAGCCAGAAGCCTCTTCTGGGTCTCCCACGCGGGTGCAGGGGCCCAAGGACTTGGGCCATCTTCCACTGCTTTCCCAGGCCATAACAGAGAGCTGGATTGGAAGTGGAGCAGCTGGGACTAGAACTGGTACCCATATGGGATGCTTCAGACCGTGTGCCACCGCGCCGGCCCTGAGAAATGATCTTTATCAGCTTAAGGATTGCTATTTATGTGCTTACTTTTTATTTTTAGCAATGCTTAATTTGTGTTTTGATCAGTGAGTATGTAGAAAGAAATTCAATGCCGTTTCAATTTCTGCTGAATGATTTATTTTTGTAACGTTTGAGTTGTTAATAAATTTTTAGCAAACTTATTTTTAAAATTATTGTATTTATTAAAAATTAAAAAATGTATGGTCTCAGATGTAAAGGCTGTCTCATCTTTTTATAGTTAACCAGTGGATACAAGAATTTGAAGGGAAAATATATAATTTCTTGCTTTCTGGCCTTAAAGACTTACATAGTTTCCATAGGCCTATCTATTCTAAGGGCTGTTCTTTGCACAGTATACTTGTATTTACTGAATTAATTGATGTGCTCTTAACAGCTGATCTTTCTCTCGCATTTTTTTTTTCTCATCAGCAGAATAGCTTTAGAGTTTTTTGTCAACATAGAGAAGTTTTTAAAAAAATTTAGAAGAGAAATAAAATAAATATTCGGAAATACCAAAATAAGGTCCTAGAACTAAATTTTGAACCCATGAAACAAGCTTAATTATACTTGGTGGCTTATTGCATTTATCACTGCATTAATTTCCTTCAGATCGATCTTTCTTTGTTTCTTTCTCCCTCTTCCTCCTCCTCTACTCTTAAATTCTGGAGGCTCTAGGCTCGGTTAAATATTTTCATGTGGCAGAGAGCCAGATTTCTAATAGCCCTGAACCTCAGCATGCTGCTGTTGCTTAGCAACTACATGTGAAGTCTTGTGGCTATAACTGAATTATAAATAGGGTTATGAGCAGAAATGCATTTGAAATTGAGATTGGAAAGAAAGGTATACTCCCTGGAAAGAAGGCATACTGAAAGAAAGGCATACTCTCCCTCTCCATTTGAAATTGAATGATTTTTAAAATTCAGATTTTGTTTTCAGAAATCTGATTCATTAAAATTTGGAATATTGACTCTCTCAGGAAGACATTAAGGACTCTGTGGAGATCTTATTTATAATTACACATTTGAAAGCATTTTTTTGATAATTAGGATTAAACATTCTATACTGGAGATGTGGCAGTTCATGGAAACTGGAGAACTTATAGTTTTCATGGACACAAATGTAGCAAAATATCCATATGATATATTTTTGCTATGTTTACATAAAAATCTACATGCAGTAATATTTTGCTGTTAGACTATATTATTATACTTTCAATCACATAATTTCTTTACAGTGTGTTAAAAATTGTCCTGTAATAATGACCGTGTAGACATTTAATGAATGTTGCATATATTAATAAACCAAATATTTTTATCACTGCTTAAAAAGAAATGTATTTTGAAATGGAATTTATTAAAATGTTATTAGAAAATCAAAACTTGAAGGAGCTGTAAGGCCTTCTGATTTAATTTCTCTATCTTTCAGATATAAAGCTTTAGACCAAGAGATGTTGAATGATTTGTCTATGATATCCCATTCCTTTGTCTAGGTTTTTTTCTTGAATCATTATCTCTTACTGAGGCATATTTAGCCTCTCTCTCATTTTTTTTTTGCACTCATATTTCATCAGTTCACAAAATTTAATTGAAGTTTATAATTTTACAGTAAAAATGTACAACTAGATTCAGTAACAAACATAACTTACATGAACAGGTTTAGGTGAGAACAGAACATGAGCCCTTTGTATTTGTAGGTATCATTCAGTATATGAATCTTTATAGTTTTTTTTTTAATTCTAAAAGATGAAACTGAGTGGTATGAGTGGTAATTCTTGGTTTTGGATGAAGGAACTTGTTTTCTTAAAATACATAATAATTTTTTGATAATAGCTTCTAACTGCATGACTTACGAAACTAAGCTTTTCTTAGAAATGTTTGCCAGAAAGAAATAGCTTAATTTTTTGTATTTTTATGTATTCCTTACTGGGAAAATTGTAGAGGGGGAATCTAATTTTTTACTGTTGCTCCCAGGGGAGCTGCTGGTCCATTCTCTATTGTATGCCCAACTGAGCTCTTGCTATCAAAAGCATAGCTTTTTTTAATGAAAGGTCTTTACTAAAGAAATATGTGGATTTATAAATTGAATTGGCTGAAAAGATGTGGTAAAAAGTAATTTTAATTAGATCTGCAAGGAGGTGTAACCAGGAATATTGCTTTCCCATAGAAGAGAAAAATAGTTGGTGCAAAGAGGAATTTGAGTTTCCTCCAGAATATGGAAGAGGACGAAGGTATTTTCTTTAGTTTAATTGTACTTGTTGTTAAGTTAGATGTATGGACACAAAGGTTCTGGCCACAGAACATCTGGCTCTCAGCTGTCATTTCATACTCCTGGGGATTTTTAGCAGGGGTCATGTAGGAGGGGTGGGGGGAAGAGAATAGATTTTCACAGAGAACTTCTTAGAACTATCTTAAGTTCTGTAGGGCATTTTCATTGGTATACTAATTGTTATAAGGTGCCTCAATTATCCCCTCAAACTCAGATTGGTACGTGTTGTATAACTGCTTTGAATAATGTTCTGCTTGCATGGTTTTCTTGAAGTATAACTAGCCACTGTAAGTAAAAATTTTGGAGAAAGATGTAACTTAAATACGATTTAAGAAAATACCAAATATGGAGACATATTTAAAGTGATATTTGAGATACAGGATTATCAAAGCATTTTCCTCATGTACTGTCTTATTTAACAGAATTTATTTAACAGAAAATATTATAAATATAAAATTTAACAAAAAATATTATACTCTCCCACTAATTCTAACTCATAGGTTAGTTAGTTCATATTTCTTTCCTTTGTGATGAACATAATAGTTAAGTAAACAACATATATATACATATAACATTGAGGATAGTCTAACAATATAAATACAATTCTGTATATCAGTTGCATATGAATTTAACATTAAGAAAAAGAAATTAGGGGCCAGCCTCTGGCGTTGCGGGTTAAGCTGCCACCTACATTCCATATGGGTGCCTGTTCGTGTCCCAACAGCTCTACTTTCCATCCAGCTTCCTGCTGATGGCCTGGGAAAAACAGAGGAAGATGGAACATCTGCTTGGGCCCCTGCTACCCACGTGGGAGACCCTGATGAAGCTCCTGGCTCCCCCATTGGGGCCATTTTGAGAGTGAATCAGAATGGAAGATCCCTGTTTCTCTGTCTCTCCCTCTCTGTCTTTCAAATAAAATAAGTAAATCTTTAAAAAAATTTAAAAAACAAGGTAAGCTACTTTTCATGTATACCAATGATTAAAATAACAGTATTTTGTTTTTGAAAGCTTGATTAATTTTACAATCTAGCCATTGTTAAATTTTACATTTAAAAGAATGTTAGTCAGTTGGTTGCTCATTTAATTTTTACCCTTCCTTCAGTGGAGTTTTTGTTACTTAAAACTGTTGAATGTTCCTAAATTATGCTCTAAAGTCATTATTTCCAAGCTTTATTCATGATTCAGTCCTTTATAGATAATTTTCATTTTAAGTGTTTAGACTTTAACAGTGTCAAATATATGAATTCATTTTGCATTTTAGATAACAAGATAGTGACCAAAGAAAACATTTGTAAAGTTAATTTACTATTTCATCAAAATACATTGATGAAAGATTTGAAATGAAACATAGAGAGCATGTACTTTGATAAATTTAATTTATTCTAACGTTCCTGGACAATTTAGCTAGCCTTTCTTTTCAGCAGCTATAATTTAAATTCTTGAAATTAAAATGTGTGTGTGTGTGTGTCTGTGTGTATGTTTAATTTGGTTGTTATGTACTAGCCCACAATGCACTGTTACTGCAGAGTAAATTTGTAGTGTACAGAGAAATGTGTATATTGGGTTGGAAAGTACAATAATGAAATACATTCTATCTTCTGGGTAACAGAATAGGAAATTTCAAGCATTGTCAGCGTTAACAGTACCCCACTTGAAGCAAAATTGAAAAATCAGAAGTAGCAGAGTTGGACAGATTATATGCTCGTATGTTCAACTTTTACTTGACATGAACAGTAAGAATTTTTTCCTCCATTGTTGGAATTGTTTTATTCTGATTGAGAAAATGATTACTGAATGTGTGTAAGACACACTCACTGGGACGTTGAGAGAAATTTGTGTTAGAGAATAAAAAATGTGTAATCCCTACCTTATTTAGAGGTTTGCCTTGATAAATCATTTAAACTTTGTATTTTTAATATGCTAAAGAGTTTTTTTTAAACCAATAAATCAGGTTCACAAATAATTGCAGGAAAAAAGTGCTAGGAAAAAAATATAGCACTATTCAGAATTTGAGAATTCAGAGAAACTTGGATGTGTTAGAGCTGTGATTCAAATGCCTCTTGAAAAATGAAAATGACTTAAATACGTATTTGGGTGTACACATACACACATGTAAATAAAGTAACAGACAATGACATGTTACTTGGAAGAGGCCTCTTTTTTTTAGCTAAGCATTTAGATTTCTTTAATTGGCACTTAATAAGAAAAGGTGTCAAGTTAATATTTTAGGTGACAAAATGCAAGTGCTCTTTCCCTCACCCCCCAAGAAAATAAACTTCTTTAGCTGATAGTTTTGCTCTCACATCTATTTCAGGATTCATACTAGCATATTCTTTCTATTTTTAGGCTGTTGCCAGGCAGATTTAGAATTTCTTCTCTTTTGGGTTCCCAGTTTCTAGCTTCCTGATTGGTTATATGACCCTGTTTCAAATAGCCAACCACAGTGACTATGCAAATTATATTTTAGTTTCTGTTTCTATAAAAGAATTGTTAAGATGGTTGCAGAGGGCTCCCTTTGGGATATGCTTATTATTTTAAAGAGAGTTTTCATCATTACAGATTAATAAGCAAATGTAGACCCCTTTAAAAAGGGATATTTTGTTTTTAAATACTAAATCAAACTAAGCAAGTTTTATAAGGCCAAAAAATGCTTCTTGTGTCAGATTAGATTAATTTTAATGGTGCTGAGTTTTGCCTCTGTAAAGCAATGTATAAGTAAGTATTTTTTATTACTTCTCATAGGCAATCATGCCAACATTAATTTACAAGCCTGTTAAAAATGTTCTAGATTATTACCTTTGTTTTCTAAAATAAGGTCTTCATTTAAGAATTATTTCAAATGTCAGATATATATATATATAAATATATATATGTTGCCCAGTAATCTTATAGCCAATATTTAGTGTAGCCCATATGTGCAACATTATATACTTCATTAATATTACACCAAAATAGTAATTTTATTATTTTTTTTGTGAAACAACTTTAAAAACACGTAATCAGTACACTTAAGGTGTTTCCTGACATCTAAGCTTTGGACGTGAAAAATGTGTTAATTTTATACTAGATATTTGATGAGAAGTGCCAAAGTGTTTCATTAAACAATATTTAAATGTAGCTGTTAAAATTCATTTATAACAATTATTTTTAAAAGGATACCTTTAAAGTACTGGCAAATGTAGTAAATGATGGCAAAATACATCATTTGAATAAGCAATATTGATAAAATATGACCAAGTCAATGTAACTTCAAGAAGTTCAAGATGTGTGCCTCATTTATAAAACAATTTTATCAACATTAATTACATATAAAGCTTTTTGATTAAAATACCAGCTTAGAAGAGAATCTATCTCACTTAAGACATTTTAGTTCTTCTTGATAAAGATACTGAATTGCATTTTTCATGTGAAGATTTGATTAAAATTTTTAGCTGGAGTGTTTACCTGTATCATCCTCAGTACTGCTTCCTTTGCTTATTTTGTACTTTTATCTTCTGTGGGTATTTCACACTCATTACTACCATCCTGAAAGATAAGCATAATATAAAATTATGTCCCAGTTAGTAATTGGCTTATTGAAGATGAAGCTGTAAGAGAACAATGCTGGTATTATTTTACATTTATTGCCTTTTTTCACAAGTGTAATTATAGATATGTTTGTTGGTCTAGAAATGTGAACTCCCTAAACAGCACTCCATTCTCTTGTTGATGTTGTTTTGTCCATGTTGATAGTGTGACCCAGTAAAGAGGGTTAGGTTTAAAAGAAATGACTAATAAAATAGTGGAAATTCTGCTGTTCCTTTCTTTTTTAATATCAGCTTTTGTTGAGATATATTTCACATACTTTTTAATTCATCTGCCTCAAGCAAAATTTTGCACCACAAAATAAAATCAGTGTTTTCAACTGAGAATTGAATTCTTAAACAATCTGGTTGTAGCATTTGTAGAAGTTAGGCATCATCAGCATAAAGTGATTATTTAGGAATGGGTCATTATTAGGCCTATTGAGTAATATTTAGTTAAGCTATTTAATGAGAAAAGATTTGAATAAAAATTACTAGCAGCACACCACTATTCAGAAAAATATAATAATGTCAGTGAACAGCATGAATCTAATTGCAATGCCTAGAAGTGCCACATCCACTTAAATTATTCTGCTTAACATTTTCTAAGGTTTTGCTTAAGTTCTATTTTTAATTATACTTCACCAGATATTCATTATCTTAAATTAATGTAGTGATTGTGTCTGTAAGCATTTTGACCCAACAATCTTGGTACTTCTGACTTGTTTTTGGAAAGCATTACAGACCCTAGCTTATTAAAAAAAAAAAAAAAAAAGAAAAAGAAAAAGAAAAGAAGTAAGCCCTACCAATGTCCTGTTAATCAAACAAAGCATCTGAGATTGTGTAACTAATATGTTTCAGTTTCATTGTTCACCTTTATTTTCACACCCATTAGGTTCTTAGTAGAGCACTTGCCCTCATTTGCTTCCCTTGTTGCTGGGCAAGGTTTGCATTTCTGCTGTCTGATTGGTTTTAGACGACTGAGGCTTTGGGCCAATCAAACGGTGAATTTCAGTTCTCTCACAGGACTGAAACATTGAAGCAGCTGTTGATTTATTTTTCCTGTGGGGAGATTATATAAACTAAGAGTATGGCTGCAGCAAGCTCCCTCTTGGGTATGTTTGGAAAATTAGAAGATGCATCTGTGTAAAGGGGGAAAAATGAGATCTATTTTACAAAGTTGCTTACTAAGAAAATATAATAGGCGGTGAAATTGAGGAAAAACTAGATTTTGATTACAGGTTTTCTATTTTTATCTTATATTTAAAGAACTATAGAATGATATAAAAAAATTCCCTCAGTTTACATATTTATTTTGTAACCCACACATTTATTTATTGCTTCAAAAGGAGAAAGCTCATATAACATTTTTGTAACCTGCTGTGAAAGGAAGTTAAGGAGAAAAAGATGTAGTCATTGTATTTGTAACCACTTAATAATATAGATTGCAAAGAATCATGCATTTTAATTTCATTAGATCAGTTAAACTAAGTCAGTTCTGTGCAGTAGACTGCATAACATTTTATAATGCTGTTCATAATAATATTTTACATGCAGAGTACTATTAATTTTTGGAATCAGAAATCTGTAAAATAGTGCTGGATGGGTATGGAAACAATTTGTTCATTATTTAAATTTAAGGTTTTATCAGATTTTTGCTTCTATATGTTTTCTAAATATAATATTTGTGGATTTTTTCTTTTTTTTTAAGAAATTCACAGTTGAATTTTACAATTCTAACTCATGGTGTAGAAAAGTATGTTCTTATGTATTGTCCATGTCTGACTCATTCCCCAGGTAGGAAATTGATATTTCTGGAATCATCAATGGCCATTTATTGCAGCAAGATAACTTAAAAGTAGCATAATGACATAAATCTTAATTATGTATGTATGTGTGTGTGTGGTATATTATTCCTATCATGGATTTAGGATTTTATGCAAAGTATGTTCTAGATTACTTTTTCAGACAAAGAACCACACTGAAGTATTGCAGATCCAGGTTTTGTTTAACTATGTTTCTCTGACCTTATTGTCTCTATCCTGTTGCTGGGCAGGAATCAGAATGCTAGCTGCTGATTGGCTGGGTTTGTGAGCAGCTTTTGAACAGCCACTTAAATTCTTGAGCTTTTTGAGCAGGCAGATTGTAGGCTAAGACATAACAGCTTCCCTTTGTTGTTTCATAGCTATGGTGTCTTTGCTAGAAAGAAGAGTAAAAGGAGTGGGTGGAGGGGGATGAAGCATAGAAGAAAATAATGTTTTCACTTAAAGAAGAAGCGGCTCATTGGGCTTTCCCTAAAAATAATTTACCAAAAACTTGAAAAATTTTACAAGCCATAGAGACCTATTTGCAGGTAACACACCCTTCTCTGGTTATTTAAATATAAAT